ATAGTTTATGGTTAAACTGTGGTAATACCAATTCGGAGCTTGCTGGGTTTGTTCTCGGAGTTGCTCCTATGACTCCTATCAGTCCTTCGTGAAGGTAAACTAAGATTTTCATATTTCTTCTGAACCAAAATTCTCCGCTAAACATTAACTATACTGTTCTTTAACAGAAGACAGGTGCCAGAAAAATTTTAATACAGAAGAGTTCTTTGCACTAAATGCTATTCCTGGAAACGCTACTACCTACAGAGCCAAAGTTATTCTTATTACAAGTGTTCTCTTGTATCTAAATTTACCATTGAAATTTAGCCATATAGTTTTTGACCAAAATAGGAGCTAATATAGAAGAAGAAGAAATATATAAAAATCTGTGAGTAATGTTGCTTGTTTAAAGGTAAAGGTTAGGTTAGGTTAGGTCGAATAAAAAAGACCTTGAGTGCTTTCCAGCAATGTACACAGGCGACACTGTGTAACACAATAATAAATTGTGTTATCTTTGTTGTTTGCTATTATTAAACAAGAATGAAATGATTCTCTGTATTACATTGTGTCAATCTGAGTCTGTTGCTGGAAAGTACATCTTATACTAAAATATTAATATTAGATCTTAATAAAACTATATTCCATGTCATAAAAATAAAATTTTTAATATAAAATTTGTTATTTGGTACTATGTAAAGAACAATCAAGTATTGAAAGTTTCTAAGTAGTAAAAAGATTTCTTAGAGCTCCGGCAGAATGACGCAACGGACGACACGCAATAAGTGTGTAATTTTTCTGAATGTCTTGTAAAAGAAACTGTATGGCTCATTACATATCGCGGTATTGTGCTGTTGTGTCATAGTTCTTAATGTTGTTCTTAATGTATCCACATAATAGAACCTCAAAAACAAAAACACTAATATGTGGAAGTAACAGTTCATTAATAACAATAATAATTAGAACATGTTTGAATTTTGAATCTAACTGGAAACGTACAAATCTGTCACAAGACTGTATATTTACTAAATTCTAACATATAATCTAGATACATTGAAATATTCTTATTATACAATTTAAATAAAGACTTGAAAGATTGCAGACTTTTTCTTAGAGAAAAATGTCCTACAAAATTGTTTTTTATAAAATTAATAGTTTCTTCCTATCTCATTTTGTTTTTTAATAAAAATAAATCAGTTACGTATACTTTTATTACAATCTGTAGATGAATTAAACTAAATATTTAGACATATTATGTATTACAGGAATATATGTTAAAAAATTTACCTAATGAAAGAGAGAGAGAGAAAGAGAGAGGATTTATGAATAACGCAAGAAAAAATATAGAAGATTTAGATAATGTATCTTTATCAAAACAAGCTAAAAATACATCTTTTCAGGGTAAGTTATAATCCTATAAAGTAAAATATATTAGCAATATGCTAACAGTTTGTCAACAAATTTAAATAGCATTTTTATGTAGTTAGTTTATTGCACTAATTAATTGCATATGCATTAAACTCATGCCAATAGAGTCTGACAATATAACTTAGTAACAGATTACTAATAGAAAATCCAGTAGAATCTATAATTTCATAATAGAATATCTTACATAAGTTGTTATCATACGACAGATGTTATTTGATTTCTGTAGTCAATTTATCATTACATTCTATTGTAGCAGATTCTATATTGTATTTTTTAACATTTTACTAGCAAAATGTAGCACACATCTTGTAAAATCTATTTTTCACAATCCTAATTATCTAAAACGTTATGTATTTATAATTTTATCATTATACAATTAAACGAGTTATGTAACTGTAACTTAGTTTTTCTTCTTTAGCTGCTTTTAGTAACTTGAAGAAATCTGAGTTTTTCAAGGATGTGTCAACTTCTAAACCTGAAACGTCTGTGGCAACATTTTCAAACAGATCCAACACTGTCCTTGTCAGTCCAAAACAGGTAATACTGTTTTCTAATGTTATAAAATGTTAAAATTAAGTATTATTAAACTTGCTAGATACGGTCAATAAAAATCACTGATGTTGTTAAAATTAAGAGTAAATATTTTACAAATTTGTTAACTGAAGTTAATAATATCCTGTTTATACAGTAAGAGTTTGTTAATACAATTTAGAGCAATTATTGAAACTTAAATAACATTTCATTTATAATAAAGTAATGTTTTCAGAAAGGCAACCCTTTGTTGAAGTTTATAACCAATGTACTATGGGAGTATTCTGACATTGTACCAGATTATGTAATGGGAAAGACTACATGTGCTCTTTTCTTATCGATTCGTTATCATCAACTAAATCCGGATTATATTCATGAGAGACTTAAATTATTGGGCAATGCTTACAACCTGCGAGTGCTCTTGGTACAAGTACGTAACTACAATTTGTATATTTATTGTATTACATATAATTTTATAATATATACATATATAAAAACATATACATATATAAAATACTATATTATCTGTATATATACCTATATTATATAACTTTATAATATATACACATATAAAAACAAAAATGATAAAGACTCAATATTTAAAAAACTAAATTAATAAGAGCGTGAGAGTATAACACAGTTATTTATGTAAATGTTTCAATGATATATTTAGTGTCATTCTTCAAGCTGTATTGAATGCAGTATATAAAATGGACATTTGGTTCTGCTTTGAACCATCTTTTTTCAGCATTAAATACACAAAATCTTTTTATATTCTCTTCTGTTTGATCACGAGAGCTTTGAGATTATCCAATCAAAAAGTCATTGATTTTGGTAACAATATGATCATTCTCGCGTCTGAAATAATATTTCGATATTTGTAAAATACTATTAAAAGAATAAAGAAAACTTACATATGGTAAGTTTGACTATATAGTCAAAGAATGTGAAAGTGGAATAACAGCCATGGTAGAAAAATATTCATTGAGTGACGTAAAATAATTAAAACACAGGATGTTGCATTTTAAATGATACACGCAAATATCTGCAAAAATATGAAAGATACAGAAAAACGTTTCAAACGAAAGTTGTTTGATTCGAAGGAAGACATATGGTGGCGCCATTGACTTGGCCTTGGATAGTCATTTGAAGGTCACGTGAAGGTCACCTTTAATTTTTCACACGAAACCCCCGCTTGTTTATTATATTATTCTACTAGTTAATATGAACAACTTTTGTCTGAAACATTATTTGATTTGCCTAATACTTTTCGAGATATTCAAGAAGAAAGTTATAAATTTTCTGTTGAATATCTCAAAAAGTATTAGGTAAATTGAAAAATGTTTCAGACAAAAGTTGTTCATATTAATTAGTAAAATAAGATAGTATAATAAAAAATAGGGGTTTCCATTAAAAGAATTGAAGGTACCTTTACGTGACCTTCAAGTAACTATTCAAGGTTAAATTTATGACAACATCTTATGTCCTTCTCGAAACTCAACAACTTTTGCTCAGGTCAATTTTTGCTAGCCCCTTTTCCCGAAGAGATATTTGCGTGGATTATTTATAAGACACCCTGTATATAAAGATATATGTATAAATATGTAATAAACTATATTAATATAATTCTTTATTACTATACAGGGTGTACCAGACCTGACGTGACACTTGTTATTGGCGGATTCTTGAGATCATTTTGAGACAAAAATCCTAATACCAAAACGTCAAGGCTATAATAGTTCTTAAATGAGAACTATTCAAAGTCGACACATCAATTTGTCCAAAATTTCCGTGCTTAGACATGTTACATTGCATAGTAGTAAGGAGCCTTCAAGCACATCAATTCTATTCTCAAATTTAAATATAATTTTGTATAGGTATTATTTGTGTTGTTATAATTGCTTTATCTTTATCTTTATTATATTTGTGCATAAATTACCTATTATTTGTAATAATAACAATAGTAAAATAAAAGACATGATTATTGATTTTCATCAATTTTGTTCTGAATGGATGACTTTGATGGTAAAATTAATGGTAAAAATGTTTTGTTCTAAAATGGGTAATGATAAACATGTTGAGATTAATAAACCGTATAAACTAATGAATTATTTTTTTGTTTAATAATTTATAATACAAACTATTATGATACATAAGTAAAGACCTTCATCAGCATTTTCTTCAAATTGATAGTTTATTTTTGCACAAATGGTTTTAAATTTAACAATTATTTATTTTAATTACATTGATGAATACACAAGTTTGAAGAATCTTGTTTGACGTACGTATTCTTCACGTGGCATAATATTTGCATAATCCAATTGAAAGAAAGCAATTCTATGACCTGTACATGGTATACCTTCCATTAATCTAGCAGATTAGATGAAATTTATTTTGTTCTACATAATAAATTTTGTATCTTTGTAAAATCTTTGTGTAATCTGTTAGATTAATGGAAGGTATATCATGTAGGTATATCATGATCTGTAGGTCATAGAATTGCTTTCTTTTCAACTGGACTATGCTAATACTATACCACGTTAAGAACTTCAAACAAAATTACATACTTCAAACTTGTATATTTATCAATATAATTAAAATAAATAATTATTAAATTTAAAACCATTTATGCAATAATAAACAATCAATTTGAAAAAATACTGATAAAAGTCTTTACTTATGCATTATACCATTTTGTATGAAACAAAAAAATTTCATTAGTTTATACATTTTATTGATCTGAACATTTTTACCATCAAAGTCATCATCCATTTATAATAAAAAATTTATGCAACAGTTCTGACAGTTTGTTATATATCACATTTTACACAATAATCATGTCTTTTATTTTACTATTGTTATTATTACGAATAACTGTTAATTTATAAATATATGCACAAATACAATAAAGATAAAGATAAAGCAATTACAACAACGTAAGTAATATGCATATAAATTTATATTTAATTTTTAGAATAGACTTGATGTGCTTGAAAGCACCTATACTTCTGTACAATATGACATGCCTGAGTGCGCATATTTTAGGCAAATCGATTTGTCAACTTTGAACAGTTCTCATTGAAATTATTATAGTCTGGGCGTTTTGGTATTAAGATTTTTGTCTCAAAATGATCTCAAAAATATGCCAATAACAAGTGTCACGTCAGGTCTGGTACATCCTGTATATGTATTACTGTATATAGTATATTCTTAGGCATAAGTATATTTGTTATAATTCCTCTAATATAAATGATTAGTTTTTTTATATCTTTATATCTATATTCTAATTTCTTATTTAATTAGATTGACGTCGCTGATCCTCATCATGCTCTAAAACATCTAACAAGGATTTCTATTTTGGCAGACATGACAATAATATTAGCATGGAATGCTGAGGACGCAGGAAAAATTATTGAAACTTACAAAAGATATGAAAGCAAACCGCCTGATGATATCATGGAACGTAGCGATACAGCACCTCATCAAAAAGTAATTATATGTATATACATATTGTATATATTTTGTATATATATATATACATACAAATGGCTCAATAACTGTTACCACCTTCAAATCTATAAGGTCCAAAAAAATATTTGTATAACTAAAATTACGTGGTACAAAAGGGGCTATCATATGGCGATAACAATTTTTGTCCAGATGGAGGCGCCAAAAATATGAAGGTTACCTACACTTTTTTTAATGAAACCCCCTATTTCTTATTATATAGTCTTTTTCTATTAATTAATTGGAAAAAACTTTTATCTAAAGCACTTTTTTATGTGTTTAATATTGTTTTAAATATTCAAGAAAAACTTGGTAATTTTTTTCAATGTTTAGCTTACGATAGGTCGGTAATGGTTGGAAAAATGGTACAGGACTTTAATTTTATCAAGAATCTGCTACAATACAAAATCTCATTTTAATTTGATGATCTTAAAATCTCTGAGTTTTAATGTACGAGTATATATAAATGTTTACAAAAGTTGGACACGGTCGTAACAGCATATTCTTGAGACCAAATTAAGTCACAAAGTCCTGTACCACTTTTCAGTTCAACACATAATTAAGATATCGTAAGTTAAATATTGAAAAAGTTACTAAGTTTTCCTTGAATATCTCAAGAAATATTAGACAAAAAATGTTTTAGACAAAAGTTGTACTAATTAATTACTAAAAAAAAATACAATAAAAAGTAGAAGGTTCTATTTTAAAAAGTAGAGATGACCTTCATATTTTTAAAGCGTTTTCAGTAGGATAAAAATTACACAGCCACACAAAAAAAGTTGGATGTCCGAGAAACTGCACCTACCTACCTCCCTGGTTTTCGATGCGCTGAATCCGAATCCGAGGTCCGTTTTACTCCATCAGGTCACAAGTTTTCATAACCTTAAAAAATGTGAAAATTCGGGGTAAGTTTGACTTTGTATGGAGAAATTGTTCAACTCTCGGCTGGCATTTAATGGAAACGTTAATCCGTGATATATGTCAATGTGTTGAATCCAAATCAGACCCACTGTTATCACTGGATTCACTTTCAACCACATAAAAAAAGTGAAAATTGGTTAAATTTGCACGGTACAATAGAAATATGGCTGATGTGTAAGTCGGAATGAAATGCAACATGATAAGGGGGCGTACTTCGATTCGTTGAAAGGTGTAATCCCGTTCCTAACCTCAAAAAATCAGAAATTTCCTGAATAATGTCTTTTAATCGTGATTTTGCTGTGTAAACTGCCGAGAAATTGAGAACATCATACCTGTACTATGAGATACTTTGCATACCTTCTTGAAATACAGATGACGGCAAGAATAAAACTACATTTGCTGTGAGTAGTGCACTCTCTTGCTCTCCAACGTTCTGTGCAAAGGCATTCGCTTTCGCTTTTTCCCTCTTGGTGGTGTATCACTTTTCAGTGTCCAGCAACAGTCAGCCATCATATTTTCATCCCACCTCCCTTGATATCGGTGTTCCATTTCTTTGATGTCTTGATGGAATCGTTCTCCTTGTTCTTCGCTATAATCACCAAGATTTTCTGGGAACCAATCGAGGTGCAAATCTAAGAAATGCATCTTCAAATTGATCAGAGTTCCCAATTCCTCAAAGTTTTCAATCATTTTGCCCACCAGTCCCTTGGATTCGCACCTCGACTGGTTCCCAGAAAAACTTGGTGATTATAGCAAAGAACAAGGAGAATGATTCCATCAAGATATCATAGAAATGGGACACCGATATCAAGGGAAGTGGGATGAAAATATGATGGCTGATTGTTGCTGGACACTGAAAAGGGATACACCACCAAGAGGAAAAAAGCGAAAGCGAATGCCTTTTCACAGAACGTTCGAGAGCAAGAGAGTGCGCTATTCACAGCAAATGTAGTTTCATTCTTGCCGTCAACTGTATTTCATGAAGGTATGCAAAGTATCTTATTTGTACAGGTATGATGTTCTTAATTTCTCGCCAGTTTACACAGCAAAATCACGATTAAAAGACATTATTCAGAAAATTTCTGATTTTTTGAAGTTAGGAATGGATTACACCTTTCAACGAATCGAAGTACGCCCCATTATCATGTTGCGTTTGATTCCGATTTACACACCAGTCGTATTTCTATTGTACCGTGCAAATTTAACCAATTTTCACTTTTTTACGTAGTTGAAAGTGAATCCAGACATCACAAAGATAACCGTGGGTCTGATTTAGATTCAGCACATCGACATATATCACCGGTTAACGTTTTCATTAAATTCTAGCCGAGATTTGAACGATTTCTTCATACAAAGTCAAATTTATCTCGAATTTTCACATTTTTGAAGTTATGAAAAACTGTGACCTGATGGAGTGAAACGGACCTCGGATTTGGATTCAGCGTATCGAAAACCGGAGGGGGGGGGGGGTGTAGTTTCTCGGATATCCAACTTTTATTTTTTTGTGTGGCTGTGTTATTATTGCCATATGATAGTCTCCTTCGTACCATGTAACGTAAGTTACACAAATATTTCTTTGAACCTAATAGATTTGAAGATGTTTAAGGTAGTAATAGGTACTCCATTGTACTATGTATGTATATGTATACATATACGTATACACATACAGGGTATTCTGGTAAAGGGGCTAACAATTTCTCCTGTACTTGTGGGGTAGGTAAAAATAACCCCACAAATTTCTATAAATTTTTTTGTATCGCTTCTTTACCGAGGTATTTATCTTTAAAGTTAAAATTTGTAAATCAATATTCTTAAATAACTTTCATATATGTATTACTGTTGTAATACTTATTTTTATATTTCGTAAAGATCTTTAAAACAATACGATAAGACTCTTCTAATCTATAAAACTTTCAAGTCCACGTTTTTTTTGTTTAAGGGAAGAAGGTATTATCGTTCAGAACTCTAGAGACCTTAAAAATGAGCAAGTTTTATGAATTTTTTCTTCAAAACTATGCAGATGGCAAATCTCCAACTCTGAGAAGTAGTAATTTTTGTAGGCAAAAATAACGCGGAAGACAATAGTTGTACAAACATTTGTGCGATATGTCTAAGGACGCCGAGTTGGTTGGTAACCACAATTACGGATAACTCCGTAATTTGAATAAAAAAAACGAGTAAGATTTATTTACAAATTTGTCGCTATCATATAAACTATGCAAATAGGAAACGAATGATGTTTTCAATATATTCAAGACGTGTAAACATAAAAGTTCGAAAATCGATAAAAAATTGCGAGTTTTTAGTCAAGAAGAAATAGTAAAAATTAATATATTTTATTTTTGCTGCTTTATATGATAGAGAGATATATTTTAAACTGTAGCTGCAAGTAGAAGAACGATTCATTGGTTTATCTCAAATTATGGTCACCAGGCGACAAAAAGTCGTTTTGAGAAAAACGAGTTTAAAGTTGAAAATACTATTCTATCAAGTATTTATAATGTAATACTTTCGTCAGTGTCACTCTAGTCAGCAATTCCAGGTCCATATTACAAAACTTCAAATTCGAAAAACTCGTTTTCCGTCTTTTCTCAAACAACTGCTCGAGCGTCCTAGAAGCCTTCTCTGCTTTTACGTTTTGCGTACTGTATCCGCTGTCTGTTTTTAGTTAGACGCGTTTATTAGTCGCAATGATAAACTATTATATGTCAAACTGAGTCAATCAACGTACGTTTATTTACAGTATTTACACTCATCTATACAAAAAAAGACCTAATTATTGCACTGTAGTGTACTCCAGATAGTCATGTGCGTGTTAATCGCAGTATTGAAAAACCCTCATCTTTTACATCTACCATAGGTTTGTAAAGGTCTGTGTTTACGATACTAGAACTTGTCCAAGTTTTAGCATCGTGAACTAGTTTTGAGACATGTGTAGCCAATCAACTTGCAGCTATTCCATAAAAGCTGCAAGTTGATTGGAACTAGAACTTGGACCAAGTTCTAGCATCTTGAACACAGGCCTTTAGATCATTACTGTATACCGAAACTGAAAAGCTTTATGGGGCACTTCTAATTTGACAAAGTTTTTTAGGCGGATTTAGGAGTATGTTCTTAAAAGTATTTACAGAAAATGCAATAAAAAAAAATTTTTATAACCCTCTAGACGATAATGCCCCTTTAACATTTTTAGGTACTCCACATCTTTTTAGAAAAAAGGTACTGTTATTTTATTTCGCAAAAGCTAACGGTGTGTTTTCTTAGAAAAACTTATTTAAATGATATAAAGTAACTCACAAATAGATTTAATATCGTCAGTAGTATAAAACCAATGATATGTAGTTTTTAAAAAATGACCTACACTGACCAATGTTTTTATTTAAAAAACGAACACACGTCGTGATGTTTCGGTCACGGATTTGGACCCTTTTCAAATAATCTGCAAATGTATGTACGTTTGCAGATTACTTGAAAAGGGTCCAAATGCGGGACCGAAACGTCACGACGTGTGTTTGTTTTTTAAATGAAAACATTGGCCAGTATAGATCGTTTTTGAAAAACTACATATCATTAATATAAGTAAATTCTCTTTTACTTTTATTTTTTAAAGTTTATCTGAGGAATATTAAATTAATTATATTAAATGTTATAATAATAATTTAACTATTATGTAATTCTTAACTATCATTTAACTGTAATGTAACTTATAATAATTGTTAAAACTTATACTTTTGGCTATACCTAAGTATAAGTTTTAATTATTGTAAGTTACATTACAGTTAAATAATTATTTAGAATTGCATAATAACTAAATTATTATTATTATAACTTCTATATAATTAATTTGATATTATTTAAATGAATTAAAAATAGAAGTAAAGAAGAATTTACTTTATATTATTTAAATAAGGTTTTCTCGAAAACACACACACACATACACACAGTTAGCATTTGCGAAGTCAAACAAGAGTACCTTTTTCTCTAAAAAAAATGTAAAGTAGCTAAAAAAAATATGAGACTGAAAAACGTACAGACTTAAGAGTTTTGTAGATTAAAAAGGT